CCGCGCTGCCCTGGTGCTCCCCACACGCCTCACGGGCAGCGGCGGAAGGAGGTGGTGAAGAGGGTGAGGAGGAAGGCCAAGCGCCGAAAGTCCTTGGGAAGAAGCATGTCTCTGGCATTCATCCCCCACAGTCCTGCTTGTTCTCACATCAAAACGTATGTAAACCTTCCCGCCGCAGGTGAATGTCTGCTCGACAGCAGCAGTCGCCTCGCGGGCTTTCTGTCCGCCGAGTCGTAGCCAGCCCTCAGCCAGGCCCAGCCATTTTGTAACGGAGACTGGCGGATAGGCCCTGTTTTCTTGTTAGGCTGCTTCCTCTCTGCCTGGTGATATGTGCCAGAAACCACACTGATTGTCTCTCTGAGCTTAGGAAATTATTGCTTTGTGCTCTCAATAAAGTAATTTAATGGAGATAAAGCTGGAGTACCAGTCACTTTATTTTAGTGCTACAGTTCTGCCCTGTAAAAGCCTGTGCTGTTCTGTTGTCTATCCGTTGCTAGAAGAGTAATAATTTATATGTCATCTTGTTAGACTAATTGCAGATAAAATTTGGGCAAACTTGGAACAGGAGGTTTTACAGGCCTTCCAGAGCAATTATGCTGCTTTTTTGGCTTGGCTGTATGCCTGCATACATCACAGCAAACTCGCACGGGCCAGTAGTACAAAAATCCTGTAGATCAGGACCCTGAGCATCTCTGAGGCCTCAGCTCCTCAGTTAGCCTGTGGCAAGCACGCAGCGTGCTTTTTCCCACAGAAATATTAAGTGTCCGGATCTTGATGAAAGGGCATCGAGACAGCCTACTGGGATCCTCAGTTGTCTCAGCAAATTGATTATTCCAGTGGATTTTATAAGCTTTAATAAATAGGTAAACAGGATCACAAAGCTTAGGCTCGTTCTCACACTTTGTGATCAATCTGGAGACTGTAACAACTATTCCCACAAACCTTTGAAAGGCATATGTGCTCTTGTTTTCAGAAAGAGTCGTCTACTTTTTGGGAGCCTTTCCTCCCTGATGTTGTAGCCCAGGGTGTTGCATCGGTTCTTTCTACAGCTGAGGCACATTCCTTTGTTGAAAGTGTTGATGTCGTTACACCAGTATGCTGTGCTTTGCTTATCGTTGTGAAGCAGAGAGTCAATGAACAAATGAACTGACCTCTCATGGGCACATTTCACAGTTTGAGTGATGCCTGAAAAAAATGCAAACAACAAAATTTTGCATGCCCTTGATCCTCTTTACCATTTCAGCTGCAGAGGAGTACAGTAACCAACTATAAACATATGTTATTATTTGTATGTTTCCCCCCCCTTTTTCTACTAAAACATCATGATTTTGCCTCAGAAATCATACATTGTAGCAACTTTACTTTTAGGATCATCCAAAAATAGTTTGTCTGAACACACATGGTAATTAAATTGAATAACTTGCTGCTTAAACTTCTCTAGCCTGACTGTTTAAGACTGTGAATATGAACCTTGATGATTTCGTTGTCCTGGCTGTTTTGGTCAGTAGGAAATACAGTATCAGGCTATATGCAGTCTTTCAGATCATACCATGTTAAAGACAGCGGTCTCATTCTGAATGGTTGAACACTGTTGTCTTTTGGATGCTTACGTGGTAATGTCGTATTTTGTCCCTATCAGAGTGACAAACTCATGTTGAATTGAATTTTGCTTGCAGCTACTGCTGGGGGAAACGGAGCAAAAAATGTATTAAATGAAAAATATTATTAAATATATAGATCTGCTCTTATGGGAAGAAAGTATCTTTTTCTTCCTGAAGTGTCATCAAATTACAAAAGCTATTTTCTTCTGTATAATCAGGATCTATCATGATGGCCTGTTTTTATATGTTTTTCCCTGGTAAGCTTTCTAGCTAAAGCTTGATTTCACATTTGTTATGAATTACCTGCTAGCAAGTCAGGCCTGCTTTTAGATGGTGTGATGATAGTTGAGAAATATTTTTGCGATGCAGTATGCTGGGTGAACAGTACTCTTTCGGGGTTTTTCACTGAGCAGTTCTGGTTGTCACTGTGCATCAGTACCTTTTTTCAGTATGTTGCATCAGTTTCTCTATATGTTTCTGTTTAGGTACATTGGAAATAAGCTTCTATTTATAAAACCTAGCCTGGAACACTGGCAGGCAGGTCCTAGAGACAGCATTATCTGCACAGCTGAAGGACGGGGAGTTGGGAAAAGATTGAACTATAGGAGGTGAGTAGTACCGCCCAGTGTTTTATTTGATTTGGAGTAATTAATTGCACCTAGATGAATCTGGCTTAATTAGAATAAGTTTTCTCATTTCCTTTACTGCTAAAACAAATAAATACCTTTGAAATTATTCAGAAATGCTTGACAGCAGGAGGCTCATGGCCTCGTTTTCAGAAGTGCTAGGCAGCCAGATTCCTTAGTGGAATCTGTAAGAACAGTTTGAACTCAATACATGTAAAAATGAGAGAACCAATTTCAAGAAAACAAATTTCCTTGCATATAATGGGAGATAATAGACCCATAAGATGCTGTTTAAGACTGTAAAGATATGTAAAGTTTCCCAGAGATACTGTTAGTGCAGCTGCAATGCTGCTTTCCCGGTTTGTGCCGTCGGTTCTTACCAGTGATCCCGTACTGTGCGATGTGGTTATACACGTGCATGATGTGACAGCCGGGCTGAAAGGTGCCTCCGTTGGGGTAAAAGTCAAAATGAGCCACAGGCTGCTTGATGCCCACGCTGAGACCCATGTGCTGTTTCGTGAATGTATGAATTGCGTCTACGAAGTTTGCATCATCTGGAGATAAACGGTCTGTTGGTGACATTCCTTCAAACAAGGGGCCAGCAGGGTCAAGGCCTGCAATAAATGCAAATGATCCAGTTGTGATATAGTGCAGATGGGCTGTTCTTTTCCTGTTGTAAGAAAAGTCTGTGATAAATTTAAAAACAGACAGCACTGGTCCTTCACAAGCTCTTTCACGACAGAAGCCATGCTGGGAGCACTTGTCCTGCAGAGGGTATGTGGCTTCACCAAAAGGTAAAGTAAACACAGGCGCTGTAACGAACAGTAGCTGCCACGTGCACAAGGACACAGGCCCAGAGATAGATGTGTTTGTTGTGGACAAACCATGGTCGCTACTGCTTTGTTGCTTGAGGGATGTTTACCTAATTTTGTTCTTTCGTACTCTAGAGGTCATGTGTTTCAGAGGCCCTTTTGAAGGCACCAGTCCCACAACGAGGTTGACTTTTAGCCCACATTTGGGACCTGAAACTTTATAAAGCTTCACTTATTGCTTCAAAGAGCTATATGTCTGGTAGATACTGTTTATAGTAATTTTTCAGGTTCAAAGATCTACAAGGCAAATTATTATGGTGTTCAGAAAAATAATATTCCACTTAAGGAGTCTTGCTGATTTTTAGTTTGCTAGAAAGTTTTGTATGGTGCTCTTTTTGGTTGGGAACTGATTTATGGAAAAGGACTGTCTGTGGAGTTTGAAGCTGCTTTCAGTTTTCACAACAAGCTTCTACGTTTGAGATCCTTCAGTCGGTACTGTGGACTAATGTAGTTGCAGCGATGTAGCTGGGCAAGGCTGAATAACAGGCTACAAGTAGGGATGTCACCCTGAAGGCATAAATTTCCTTTTATTTTTAAAAGCTTTTATCCCTATGAGTTTTTGGAGCTTACTGTTACAAGTCTGGATAGCTTTTGCTGCAGAATGCATGTAGCTGTTAAATAATGCGTTTTAATGTTTTTTACTTATCTGTTATCAAGGTTTGATGTACAATATGGATTGAACAAGCAGCGCTGATGAACTAAAGTCCTTCAGTGTATACCCAGGTGTTGCATGACACGTGGTGTAAAATCACCTTCTTAGCATGCAGGCAGCGCCACAAGAGCTGATGGTATAAGGGACTGTGGTATGTGGCAATGAATCCACAATCAGAATTGGGACTTCAAGCTGCAGCCATGCATATTTGCCTCACTCCCAGAGCAGATTAAAGTGCAATGTTTTCTCTGGTAACTTAGATGTAGGTGGTATGTGCCTCCTGTAAAATGCACTTCTCTTTCAGGTTTGGGGGTTTTTTTCAGCCATCACTGTGCATTAGATGTGGCACTGTGTACAGCATATCAATAACCTTATAAATGTGTTTTCATTACACTCATAATTAGTACAGTTACAAAACATTACAGAAGGTTCAAAATGCCACTGGTCAAAACAGTCAAGTGTTATGGTTAACGTTGTTCACGTTAAGCCCCTATTAGGGACATTCTAATGGTATGCTTCTTGTAAAAGGTAGTCCAGGATTTGTTGTCCTATCCCTTTTGCCCCAGGAGGACTGACTTCAATCACTGTAGGAGCAAGGTACTACAACCAATAGCTCAAGCACAGTTAGACAATTTTCTTACGTAGGTTTCTTTTTCAAATGAGTTGATAACAATGAACAGCTCTGGGTCAAGACTGACCAAAGATCCAAGGTTAGTGGCCAACATTTAATTGAAGGTGTTACTGGCAATGGATACAAGATAAATTCAAGCAACAGGCAACTTGAAGCATTGGTTTATGATTTGTAGTCCCCACACTTGTCTGTTCTGTATGCTGTAATTTGGACTGAGGTAGGAATGATCAAAGCTAGAAATATTATAATACTTCAATTTGAAAAGTGTTTTCATCAAATTTTCTAAATTAATTTCTGAACCAATGGGATGAAACTTCTAAACTGTGGCAAATATTGCTATTCAACAGCTAAATATTGATATGACATTCATATGTCAAATGTCTATGTAACTTAAATCAGTTGACTGTTACATTTCTTAAAGTTATAAGTCTTTTACCTGTAATTCTTCCAATCTTGTTTGTACCGCTGATATAACTTCCAGCAAATCCTGAAACATGGGCTCCTAGGCTGTACCCAATTAGGTGAGCATTGCTTCTGGAAAATTGAGTGGATTCCTGGAAGACAGCAGCAGCTTGGTTTAGATGCAGAAAATACTTTCTACAAGCTAGGAATGCCATGACTTACAACGTAAGAAATTTGTATGCTGATAGTGGAGGTCAAAAGACGTGCATGGATCAGTCACTAAATTTCTTTGCTTGCTGAATGTTATTCCTTGCCTCCTTTCCAGGCAGCAGGACAATGCCAGACATTTGGGCACTGCTATATAGCTCAGGAAAACCATCAACACAAAGAGTAGGGTTTTTGTTGCTGTTTGTTGCAAGTGATGCGAATGTGCATTGCCTTTTGTCTGCAGCATAGGACTTTCCTCTGACTATAAAATGTTGTCTGTCCTCTAGCTTCAGTGTAAAACAGTCCTTTCTAGAAAGTGCTGTGCTCTTTTTGCCCGAGATACTAGCCCAAGCCAAATTAGAAGCCCAAGCATCAAAACATTGATCAGACTTGCTAAGTGATATGGCAGTGACATTTCCTGGACTGATTTGTACAGAACTGGGTATCTGATCTGAAACAAGCCTGTTGAAGCAGAATTGGCCTCGGGCCCTTCTTTCTACCTAATCAATACTATCTAGATCTTAAGCATTTCATCTGAGCTGCAAGGCTCAAAGTTTTTCTGACTTGTAAAGAAAAATGTGACATATTTTTCTTGCAGAAAAGGCAAATCTCTGCTTTAATTCTGTTGTGGATGCTGCCTGTCGCAGTGGAGTGCTTTTGCAGTCTCGATACCCGTCCCTTGTGAAGATGAGGTGAAGCTGGCAACCTTCTTTTGAGAGAGGCAGCTCTTAGAAATCACAAGACCCGACCAATTTTCTCAGTAGGAGTTATTGATATGGATGCTGTTGAGATTGTTACTGATCATGCCCTATTAATTCTTGGACTAAGAGCTCTAAGATTTACTTTATTTTGATTCTTTATTAAAATGTTGCACAGCGCTGCAGTTTTTGTTACATCCATTGAGGATATTTCAAATACTTGCCTGCCTCTAAGCAGGCAGAAGCATAGCAGAAAGGTAATTATGGTAGTTGGAATGAAGGGGGGATTAACTGTTAAACTCAGGAGAAGTGCTTCTCGGCAGAAGGAAGGTTGACTGCTTGAACACACTCAGTTGAACGCTGTGAAAATTTGTGCTGTGTTTAAATTGTGGAATATATCATGCTACAAGAGAAGCTACCTCCAATGCTGGAGCAAGAAGTCATTTGTTCAAGCCTTGATTTATTTGCTCACACTGGAGAAATCACAGACTGTCTTTATTGTTGACAATGTCGTCTGTCCTCCTGGGAACTGAACAAAGTCCACCATTGGATTCAGTCAATAATTAAAGAGCTTCAATATAGGACTTTGGGTTCCAGCAACTTAAACTACATTTGACCAAGAGCTGAGGTTTCTTGTAATGTCACAATCAAAAATAGTGACTCTGGCTCTTCTGCCTTCTCTTTTGTGCCTGTTGTCCCTAACTGGGTATGGTATCTGACAACTTCTTGTAGCCCTGTCAGTCCCGCTGAAAGCAGCTTAGCCCTTCAATGGTATTTGTTATAAACCTTTCAACTTTGCAGTGTATTTCCCTTCCACCTTAAGCATCACTGTTTTTAAATTCATGTATTCAAAAATTCATTCTGAGGTACAGAAGTATAATTTCATTTCATATTAGGTAGCTCAAATTAGTACTAGAGTTAGATTAAATAAGAGTTGCTTAGGGTGCCTGGTTTGCATGAATGATTCTCATGCTAGTGTTTTTCTGCCTTTTCTTAAATAGAGTGCTGGAGACCAGTGATCCCTTGCAGACTTGTCTGCAGCCTTTTCAGTCCAGCCATGGCCACTGCGCTCCCTGTGTAGCAGGAGTTTTGATAACTAGTCACTACGCTAGCGTGGCTGGGTACTCACTACTGCCTCCATGTCATCTGCTTTGTGGGGCGTGTCTGTCCTCTTAGAAGGTCTCACTTTACATTCTGGATCTCTTAAACCATTATTTTAGAATGATCTTTGGGGAACTGAGGAAAAATCAGATGCGATGTTGTACCTGAATTCTGCATTAAAAGCAGAAATTAAACACAGGTAACAACCTTATTTACTGAACTAAGCACTTGCGAATGATACTTTGTCCCTTCCTTCAAAGCATGGGAGACTGTCAGCCATCTGCAGACATGCTAATTGAAACAAGTAAGTAGCATGAAATTATCTCAGCTCTAAAGATATGTCAAAATGTTTTAATAAACAAGACCACTTGCTTGTTTCTCTTGTATGATGAATATTTTATGAAGTCATATGAAGGTTTATGGAAGAAAAATTTGCAATATATTGAAGAAATGTTAAGTGATTGAAATGAACAGCATTAACCAGCATAGTATTTCAAAAAGGTGGTAGAAGCATAAGAACAGGTAAACAGGTCCTTTCCAGAGAAACATGTGTTCGTCTGGGGGCTCTTACCTCCAGCCATTCCAGGAAGCCTGCTATCTCCTGTCCTATGTAGCGTGTGTTCTGTACAGCAATGGGGTAGTGCTGGTGAGCAAATGTAAGCCAGTCTGCAATGATCACGTTAATTTGTTTATGCTGAGACTTCAGAGCTGCTGCCATTTTCCAAATCCAACTTTCTAACATCCCATCCACCTGTTTCATTAAAAAAAAGAAAAGATGATGAAACTTTTTTTAAGGGAAAGCAGTCTCTGCCAAATACTTCTTGTGAAAAGCTCAAGAAAACAAAAAACAGTACAAGCAAGGAGTGCTTTATGCTGATAACTAGGTTTTAGGGGCTTCAGCATGCTTCAGTGCTGAGAATCTTTGAGTTTTGGTGTACAAAAAAGAATGAAGATGTGAACTGTATAATAATTTGTCTTGTAATATGAACTATTATCAGTGAAATGACATCTCTTAATATTTTCACTCATCCTGAGATTATTGGTATTACTGATGAAAAAGGACAGAAATGCCCAGAACATTGCTGATTGCATTCAAGAGCAGCTGTCCCCGTAAATTTAAGCTAAAAGTGTTGGAGAGGGAGGGAGGATGGAGGGTTGCAGGCTAGCAGGTATGTACATTCTACAGCCATTCCATTTTGAGATCTGCTTTTTTTTTTTTCTTTTCAGTCATTCCTTAAGGATCTGATCATAATTTCCTTTCTGGCATCAAAGACTGCTTCTGATTTGGTGGACCAGAGTTACTAATCTACTAGATTTAATTGTTGCTCTAGTTGCACGTATTCCCTCAATGGGTAGAACATCGTTCTCTCTTCTGGTGCTTTAACAGAATTTGGGAGTCTCAGTTGTGGGTTTCCATACATATTCCTCTAAACGCCCAACACCTCTGCATGTTGAGTTAATATAAACGATAAACTGCAATGCAACAGCTTCAGGTCCATAGTTTGTCTTTGGGGGAGGGTATAGGTTTTGAACAAATTCTTATTTGGGAGGCTTGGCTAAAGTAATATAGGGCAATATTTCATCCAAAGTCAGCTCTGCTGTTACTTGAGAGAGATACGCGCATTAGGGTGGTGGTCAAAGTTTCTTTGGATATTTGCAGATGTGCAAGAAAGATCCGTTTTGCCACCTTATGTGATGACATTGGTTCTATAAGAATCAAGGATCTGTTAAAATGACATCATTTCTTATCCTCCCTTTTCTTTTGTTTCTTTTTCAGCTGAGAAGCCGATCCAAAGTCACTCTTAGTACTGCTATGCTTTTGAGAGAGGTTTTCACAGTGGATTTTTTTGTTTTACAGTTTAACTGGAAGCAGTTCAGTGATAATTCATTGACGTTGAAGTCTTCATTTTCAGCTGAAGGAGCTTATAGAAAAGTTCTCTTTAAAGGTGTATCTGTGAGAAAGATGTGGGGAGATTGTGTGCACTTCTTTTCAGTAAGTCTGTAGATATCAGGCAGTGAACGTATCGGAGAAATGAAACTGGTATTCATCCTCCAGAGGCATAGCATGTCAGTTCAGCCGCTGGTTTGAACTCTGCTGGCTCTAAACCAGGGCTGAATCTAATCCTTGGCATGGAACTCCCATATGAAAGATTGCTTGTAGACTGTTCCTTCAGAATTTCAGTAGGGAATATTCACTCTGTGTTATTTCTAGCCATGATTGCTACCAGGGAAATCTACCATCTTTCTAATCACAGCCTTTCTTCTGAAGTTACTTTTGGCACTAACAGAATGAGAAGGAAAGTATATCAAATCAGATGTAGTTTGAATTAAAAATAAAATGTGAATTCATACCGACCAGCCATGGACTATCATCACCAGAGGAAGAGAGGCATTGAAACTGCATTTGTCAAGAGTGTCCAACTGATTAAAAAAAATCTGACAGCCTTCTTCAGTTGAATTTGTATAGAGTCGAAATTTGGTTTCTAAGTTTTGCTGATCCTTCCTTGTTCTAGTGTGCTGACTCTGTGGTCCCAGTGCCTCTGAAATGAAGTTCATAACAACAGTCATAACAGGATGGGATCTAAAACCTGAAGAAGTTGCTAGTAAAACACAGTTTATAGGACAGAGTAAACTAGAAAGATTGAAATTCAAGCAATGTGTAATTGGTGCCTACCCCAGGTGGGCCTGAGCTGTGTATTTTGGCTCAAAAAAAGGGATCTCTTTCAAAGTTTGAAAAGTCTAGATGTGCCTCTGAGTCCATCTGTTTGATTTACACAGGAAATATTGATCTTATTGCTGCGGGCTCTTCCAGGATGCATAGGTATTTTAAAAACACAGTACAGGTACCGTGGCTTTACAGTGTCAGTGCGTGGACAGGCAAGCACAGCCACAGGCTGTTAACTCTGCAGCGCTTGTTTGCTAACGTGCATTTGCTAGTAATTGCTAGGCAAGCAGCATGACCCTAAAATAACTATTTTATTCAGGGCTATAGCTCTGCTTAGAGACTTCGGTGACTGCTTAAAACTATTAGACTGCATCATAAATGATCCTTTTTCTCTAAAGAGAGGAATGCTCTTGTTCTAGTTGTAATATTTTTGGTGGTTTTGTTGTTTGGTAAAATGTCTCGGTACGTATAGGTCAGCATTTTGAGAAATGTCAGTTGCCTGGGATGGTATCTGTGTTTAAGAAAATGGGGACAGGGTGAACTGTGGTCTTATCAACATTACGAGCTTAGAAGGAAAAATTTGAATATAGAGAAATTGCTGAAAAATAAAGTCAAATAAAGCAGAAGCTTACAAAAAGCACATTGTGACATGCAAGCCACGTGTTTCTTTCTAGTAAGACTTCAGACTGTTTGTTTTATTTATCTGAAAACAATCCATATGATAAATTATTATTTAAGCTAGAAAAAATGGAGTTATTAGAAGAAAAGATAGGTTGTGATGAGCTGGACAAATGAGAGGTTACAGTTCTTTGTGTTGGAAAGGGAACTTTGAGTGGAGTTTACTAACGGAGTTCCTTGGGGACTTTTTTGGCTATTTTGACTGGTTTAGTATTTTCATTAAAGAAGCAGAGGTGGAAAACACTAAGAGCTAGGTGCCCTCGAAAATACAGCAACAGGTAGAAATCTCATACTATGAAGTGCAAGGTCACACAGTTGACAGGAATTTCTCTATAGATGGGGCTCGTAAATTGGAAGTGACAAAAGGGTAAAAAGACCTGACTGTAGTAATCAATAACAAAAGTGACTGTGAGTCTGCTGTGATTTGGCTGTGAGAAAGGAAAACAGAATTCCAAGATGCATCAAGGAAGATGTTTTTAGTAGGAGGAGAGAATGTTAGTGCCAATAAGTTCAGGCACTTGTTAACCACATACAGACCAGTGCACATAGCTCTTGTTACCACGTTCAGGTGATGCCAGTTCAAGCTGCAACAGCTGCTCAGCAGCACCGCTAACGTGGTCAGGGAAGAGGCTTTTGTTTTAATTAGACCTAACAACTCATGGAATATTCTCAGAGGTGAAACCAAAGTATTTTATTCACTAAGAAGTTAAATTGATCTATGTTGGAACAGAACTCACATTAGTTAAATTTTAGGGTGGTGGTTTTTTGCATAAAAGTTGCTTAATATAATATTATTATTAGAAATCCTGTACTGTCTTTTATCTTCTAAGTAAAGACCTTAACTTTTTTTGTACATCACAACTCTTATGTCTGTAGATGTTTTCAGAAAACATCTAAAATCATAGCATATCCATTTCTGTATTACATCTGCAAATGTATCATGAGATTCTATGACATTGTCTTGATAAGGTTTTGGTAATTTATGAGGTACTTCTGGTCCGTTTACAGCCAAGCCTTTATCCTGCAAGCGCATTTAGTGACAGGAAACCCCCGTATTTATGTATATGCAGTAGTATCATCTTACAGTGCACAGGACAAAGAACCGTACTGTGAAAGCATGCTGCTTTTAGATCAGACTGTATTTTTGCCACATGTCAGTTTTGTTACAAACTTTATTCAAGATTTTATTTTAGTGTAATGATAAGGTGTGATACAAACAGTGTATTTAATTTCGTTAAGTGAATGGCAATTCTGGCAAGAAAACACCCAAACTGGACCGCACTGGATGCGCACTGTTTCCTGTTTGTTGCTGATTAGTGTACATTCCAAGTAGCTCCAGGCAATGTTAGGTTTCGTAGCTAGGAATCGTTATTGTAGAAAGTTGTTCAGCCTTTTACAAGAGCTGGAATTTAAAAAAGCCTCAAAGTTAGTGAAAGTTTGGTTGTCAAAATCCTTAGCTTCGGTGTCTCATTTTGGTTTAATGGCTTTTTTAAGTGTGATAGCTAGCTAGGACTGAGTCTGATCATTTCTCTCTTACAATGTCTGCTTAAGAACATTTCTGTTGGATTTTTTTGCTGGGAGAGTTTCTGTGGAAAGTAATATTAGGAGAAAGTGAATCTAGATAACCGAAAATTGGAAAGAGTTTTAATGATGTTGATATTCTTAACCTCCGGTTTATTCAGGCTTTGGTGAATAGTCTCTACACAAAGACAAGTATTGTGCTCTGTTTTTAGCACAACAAGAAAAACAAGAAGTAGTAAGTTGTGCCTGTTCCATTGTGTACATCCTTTCTTTGTTTTATGCCTTGTTTTCATTTTCTTTTCATGCTGTCAGTGTTTGTGCAAGGCAAAGGCACTTTGTCACTCTCCATATTGTTTGTACATACTACAGAAAACAAGCCTAATAAATAGCTGTTTTCTTTATACGGTGACTGTGGAAGTGCTGCGGTGCTTTAATGGGTGAGCTTTTGCCTTGCCAGTAAGTCTGAGTGAGCGAATTAAAAATACAATTTGAACATCTTCATGGCTGTTAAAAGTTCCAATAGAATCTGTTGTGTTATTAGACAAAGAATACTTCAATCCATTAATCCATGTAATGACATGGAGAAGGCAGGAGAGGCTGAAGAGCTTGGTGTCTACAACAGACTCTTGCTAAAAGTGTCGTACCAGTGACTCGACGGCATGACCGGAGGGAACTGCAGTTTCATTGGTCGGTTTACAAAACCAACAGAATAAAACTGCTAAAGTTTTTCTGTGCTTGCTGCAGCTAAGAGTGCCAAGATCTTTCTGAAACTCCAAAGAGTTTCTCTTTGGAAAATTGGCCCTTACCCAGGTGAGTGAGTTGCTGACTTAATTTCGTTTTTCTATGAAGATCCTACTCTAACATGAATCCTTTCAGAACAAGCAGTGAACACGGCCACACTGATCCACGTGCTATCATAAATTACCTTCATGCAGAGCAGCATGGGAATCACGAGCAAGAAATGCTCTTGTGACTTCTTGGTACCCCAGAGGAGATTCAGCCCTTTACCTTTCCTAACTTTTTGTCAGTGCTGTTTCTGTGAGGTGCGGGAAAGACTGTAACTGAAGGCTGGGTTTGTAAATACCTCTTAACTGTAATACAGCAAAGTTCCTTGTAAAACATTTTGGAGTTAGTTTTGGCAGACAAACTAAAACACTTTTAGATTTGGCCTGAGATAATCGTGTTTTCTTACTGAAAAGTAAAACCAAAAGAGTCATTACCAGTTGAACAAAATTAAACTCTTTTTAAATCGGGATTTTAAAAAAGTTTAAAAAAAACCCCAAAACAACAAAAAACCCCAATCCCCCCCCAAGACAACCCTGTATACCTGGTAGTAATCTAGTTGCCATCTGAGTGCAATGCATGTTGGGATGTGCAAGATAAGAGTTCAGTTATTTTTTCTCACTATTAGCATTTAATTATTATTTGCATTATTAATGCTTTTGCTTTAGGTGATGCCCATCCTGCTTCTAATAATGCGACATCCAAACTAAGAATAACAAGAAAGCTGGTAAATATGAAGAAATAGCTGATTCTGCAAAAAGAGGTCTTGCAAATACTACTAATAATGATAATTCCATATGGACCAAACTTAAATTATTTGTACTAAGTCTTGTGTTTACCTGTAGAAGCAGGTTAACCCAGGGGACTGACTTGGATTGAGTCACCCCAAAAGATGAGAAGGCATATGGTTTTCTTAACTATGGAATTTTTGGAGTCTCTTCTGAAATTTACAGATGTAATAGTAATGCTTTAAGACTTGTAAATGAAAACTTACTGCAAAGGTCTGGACGCTGGCCAGGGTTTGAAACCGTGAAATATCATATGCTTTTTTTGGGAGGGATCCAGAATCTAAATATATTTTTCTATATCACATCTGATTTGGCAAAAAAATACAACTACAAAATATCTGCTTCATACCAAAAATTTTGCCGAAAGATGTTGGGAATCATGACAAAGTACGGCAGGACTACATAATGTTAAGAGCAAAATTTTAATATTTGGTAGGTTATACATTTTAAATTAATCTTGCAGTACAGCATAAAAAATTTGATTAAAATTGGCATTCCTAATTAAGGAAAGTAGCTTTTCTGACTAAGAAAAATAGTGTTCAGCATCCTTCTTCTTGTCATGGAACTCTGCAGGAAGAGTTTCTCAACACGGTCTCGTTGAGGAGTGTTCAAGAGAATGTTTCAATGGCACTCACCTCATCCGTAGTCATTTGAAAAATTGATTAAGTAAACCTGAACAGAAGCTGAACTTTCGGCTGCGAGTATGTTAAGGATACTTGAAAATGATACCTGTAAGCATGCATACATGCCCCACTACCTGGACACTACGTATTTTTTTCTGATTGCCTCCTGACCCTTACTGCAGTGTCCCTTCATGTTCATGGATGGGTTTGCCTGAGCATTAACAAATCACCTGTATCTTTTGGATGGCTTTCACTGCTTTTTGTACATGGAAATGTCTCCAAAAGAGTGCTTCGGTATTGTGATGTTGTTTTAGTGTGACCAGTATCCAACACATTTAAGAAACAAATGACACAATTATTGTGGTCCCCAGAATTAGAGAATTCTGTTGTGAAATTGAGCAAAGGCAGCGACGTTTTAATGATTTTTGTTTGGGCCATGGAAAGTGGAATATATCACAGATCTCCTCATTTCCAATAGCCAGAATTTTATCACTTAAAAGAAGAGCTAATGACATGAAAGTGTTCAGGTGTCTCAGTTTGACAAACGCTTGCCTTAGAGCTATTCCTGCATAGTCGTTGGTGTTCCTATTGGATGTGGAAAATCTTCTTCGCTAGCCCCTTTTATTTTGTTTAGCAGTGCCTGTCATAACCTCCAGACTCTGCTTTCTAGGGAAAGCCATTTGCTGCAACTGACACAAAGAAATGGTAGAATGTGCATGATAAAGGACTCCTAAATCTGAAAATCCTGCAAAATTTAAGCAATACTGTGTAAAATGTAAATAAATTGTATGTTTCAATTGCTCCGTGTTTACCTAAGAATTTTATATCTCTTTGGACAAAGTTTCTTGTACAATAGCTGACACAAAATCAGGACTGGACTCCTGCTATTTAAAAATGTATCTAATCAAAAAGATGATGGGAATAGATTGTAAACATTAGGCTAGCATTTGTTTGCTTTTCTATTCCTGATTTACAGCGGTATCTTGAAGCAGGGTGTAGTGCATTCTCTGTTTTGTGGAGATTAGTAGTTAAGGTACTTGCATATAAGATGATTTTTATTGCTTCTGTCAGATCAAGGCTTTTGGATGCCATTGACTAACAGTTAAAAGTTCTGTCTCATGTAGTTCCTAGGTGAGAACTCTAAAAGATGGAATGGTTGTTTTTTTGGAAATCTAGGACTTTTTGCCTACTCCAGAGTTCCATGCAAGAAAAGGCAGTCAAAACTAAGGTCTGTAGATTCCTTGGTATATTATCATTGTGCTTACATTTTTTGTATTCTCGTGCAGTTCCTTTGTATCTTCACTCCCCCTAACTTGCTCACCTTGCCAAATGTAAAGCAGGTATCACTCACAAAAGAATGAATGGAAAAATAGCAAGCGAGTGTGAAAAATCTACAAAAATGAAATTAAAAATGATGAGGTCTGTTTAGAAAGAGACTTTTTGGGAAAAGCTTCCCTTTTTGTTCAAGTTTAAATGATTAATCTCAACATCAGATGCACTGTCTGAAAAGTATCACGGTTTTCTGAGCAGTCATTTCGTGTTTCTCCTGTCTTACACGCATGCATGCCAAAGGTAAGTCAGCAAACTCACCAGGAGTGTGGTTTGCACCCAAAGAGCCCTAAAGGGAGAGGAGAGGCCATTGTTACCCCTCTGATGAAAGCTTCGTGAAGCGTGCCATTCAGACTGACTGTGTGTTTCGGGGCTTTCAAATCATCCAGGTAACGCTACTGGTGGCTGGCGTTAGTGGCCCCTGGAACTGGGATAAAGATGTGTTTAGAAAGAGGCTGATGTAAGAGTTCATTGGAGCAGGCACCCTGTTTTCATCAGGGAGGCCATGATACTGTCAGTGGAAGGTGGGCATAGCACTTCCTGTGCAAAAACTAGCTCCTGGGTTACTGGGGATGATTCTGGCTGAGATTCTTCACCATTAAAGTGCAGAAGACTCTTTTTTTTCTTTGAAAATCAGACCCATCCAATGTCTAACAAAAGTCAGATTTCTAATTCTTTTCTAAATCATGATTAACATTGGGCAAGCTCTTTCTTTTTTCTGGTGTCTAAATACAGCTGATCTTTCCTGAACTCATTATTACCACTGCTATCATGCTTTGAAGCACTGTGGAAGACACAGTGGTCTGGGATAATCCCTAAAAACTCATCCTGCGGTTTAACAAAGGGAAGGTTGTTCTATTCTGCCCTCCCTGGACCTCCCAGGTCTGTGTTCTTTATTTACCTGGGCTATTTGAGGAGGGGGTGAAATTTGTTTGCAGATGTGTTTGGCAACTACAACGTTAGAACTGTCAGCAGAGATCCGTAGCCACAGCATTTTCTGGTTACTTCTATTCAGAATTAATTTCTGTAGGTAATGTCTTGTTCACTAATAGCATAACCATGATTTTAAAGTTATTAACATGTTAGTAAGGAGCTTAGACCTAGATGATATTTCTCCCTCTTTTTTTTTTTTTTTAAAAAAAAAAAAAAAATTAGTGCTTTCCAAAGGAGAAGTAATTTGAAAAAAATACCCAGCTTTGAATTCATGGTGCATACAAGAACTGTAAAATCTATTCAGAGTATTCAGTATAGATCATTGTTTAGTACAATTTGTTTGCTTCATGGCCTAAGACATAAAGGAATGCAACCTACTCTCAGAAGCTGCTTATATCAAAATAATTCATAAAAGACCCTTGTCAGTTCCTCTTAAATTATCTACTTATGGATCTCTTGCTGCTGTTTATTTGAAATTTCCTCTCTTTAGTGCATTTGGGCAGGTGGTAGAGACAGACACAAACAGTTTCAGTTCCTCAGAGTGCCTTAAATGGGAGTATTTGGGGATCTGGAGAATAAAATGAGAACATCAAAACAAACGTCTTGCTACAAAACCTTGGAAAAGATGATGAAACAGGTTAAATACCATTTTTTGGTTTCTGCTTGTTGTGTGCCTCAGCTGTTCAGAGACTTATCTCTTCAGTCACCTATGAATCAAATAATGCACTTATGTTTAATGGTTTCAAAAGAGAGAGAAAAAAAATACAGTGTGACCTGTCCTTTAAGAGACAAAAATCTAGTATGTTACCCTTCTGCTTTTCTAATTTATTGTTTTATTTCCTCGTGTATTAGGGTATGTATTTTTATTCTTCTTGTTGCTAAATTTGTGTTTCTGTCATTGATTTTGAACACTGGGTTGCCTCAGAATTTTCCAGAGAATCACCTCGTTTTGATTCTTGTGCCTTACTCTTTTAATCTTTCTCTTCCCTGTAAACACCTTCATTACTGTGTGAAACTTCAAAACTTATTTTTTCACATGTCCTTTATTTAGAATCAAGTATTGAGTAATGGTTAGAACAGAAGGCAAAGAAGTAACACCCACCCCCCAGACTGTTAACTGTTCCTTTTGTCTTTTTATATCGAGTGAAAACTTCATGAAGGAATGCTGATTCTCAAAAGCTTGATGTCTCTTTTGTTGTCTGATTAAGTTAGGTAAATGACTTTTTCCTCTTTTCTATCCATCACTGTCCCGTAATTTAAAAATACTAGTTAGTTCTCTATTAAAAATAAAAGTTTAAGTGCAATAATCAACAAGCCTGTGAGACTGTTGTTACAAAGAATAGGGAAACCAGCGCACAAAGAAACCAGCAGTGCCTCTTGGTTTAGAACTCAACTGGTGGGTTCTGGGCTGATGCCCTGTGCAGAAAAATGCATCCAAATCCCTCTCTCCTTCTGGAAAAGGGTGCAGAAGGAGGCACCAGTCACACAACTATTGAACAGCTTGCATTATTTATGGGGTAACATACGCTGGCCTCCTAGTTTCCTCATCTAAAGTAAAATACTTCTAAATACGAACATTTAAGTCCTACTTATGCAATGCATAATTGCTAAATTGAAATTAGTATCTCAATGGTTTAATCTGAATTTTACAAACAAAAATATTTCAAAATCATTACAGTATGTCTTTCCAGGAATGCTTTGAACTAGCACATGATCTAGATCTCAGATTGTTACTATAAATTAGTGTTAACAAATAATTCTCTCCTCCATCTAACCAAAACTTTCATAGTTTCAGGTGAGATTTACAATCAGGTCAATGTTGGAAAAAATACTTTCGCCCTCTCTGAAAATGCTTCCTTTCAAATATATGTGTTGGTTCTGCTGAGGTGCTCAGATGCCTGATTTGGAGCTTCAATTGCTTTTTCTTGACAGCAAAAGCAGAAAGAAGAAATAGTCACTAACTGCCTGGGTAAAATATATTTGTTCATATGATGTTATCAGATAGAGGAAGGGGCAAATGAATAATGACAAATGTGAAGCCAAGTAGATTGGGCTTCTTCAGCCAGGAGAGCAGACAACTAAGAGTGATACGGTATAGAGGTCCGTAAAATCATGAATGGCAGGGAGAAAATAGAGGGGGGATCACTTGTATGTCCCTCCCAGCACAAGATGTAAGGATTATTCTAATAACAAGTATTTTGGTAGCTGAAGATGATGAAATGGTTCTCCTTGAGACATACAGTTAGTCTGTGTCATTTCTGTCTGGGTGTGATGGTGGGTGTTAAGCATTTATATAAGGTTAGCTGGAAACTGGGAGTGATACGTGAGAGAAACCCAGTGAGGATTACTAAGCACACAGACACCACCACTTACTCAGGAGATCCGTGAGCTGGAAAGGGTTGAGGATGGGGAGAGCAGATGGGGGAAGTGCTATATGTATATGCAAACCTCCCCTGCTGAGTGCATCTGCTTTTGGCCGCTATTGCGGGTGGTTAAACTAGATGGACCTTGGCTTTCACCCCGTACAGCCACTCGTAGGTTTGATGTAGAGCTACCCAGCGTTACTTTTAACTGAGATTTTGGCTGATTTGTGGGGGGTTTTTTGTTTTGTTTTGTTTTTGTTTGTTTGTTGTTTTTTTTTTAAGACAGAGACAACCTGTGAAAAACAATGGGTTTTGGAAAATATTTCAGTTGAAAACTTTTTACCCTCTTTACATCCAAGTTATCAGTGTTAATATTTGCTGCTGTTCAAAGTTACTACTTGTCTGGAAATACTTGTTAATTTTTAATAATTAAAAAAATGTTGAAATCAGCCTAAATATACTGATCAATTCTGATTTATGTTGAAATGTTTGGAGCTTTGATTTGCAATTTTGTTGCTGTCGAAGTTTTGGTGTTTTATTTAGATTGGTCTGGAAAATGTCCTTGGGATATGAAAATATTTTCCTGTTCAGCTCTAGTAAAAAGTCAAGTGAGCTCTTACCCTGGAAGAGGTGGACAAGAGCTAAACAGGAAATACAGATCAAAGGATTCAAAGCTGTACGTGTTCTTGCTTGTAACATTGTGATTCAGAGCATTGTTTTATTCAATTTTATTTCTAAGGACAACTACTTGTGTGCATATCCCATGGAACCATTTCACATACACTGACACTACCATGACAGGTGTAAATTTTTTTTTAAGAAAAAAAAGTCAGTCTTGCAAAAGATAAGACATTTTTGGAGTTGTATTTTAGGATAACTGTGCTGGAAGTGGGAGTTCATTTTCTTCCTATGGCACTACTTTTTTTGCTGTGTGATCCTGCAGTGAAATCCCTTGTGTGGTGCCAACTTGCGATGTCAGAAATTCAGCCTAACTTCTGGATCACAGCGTTCTGTAGGACGAGAAGAAATGAAATACATGCAGCAAGAATGTGTGTTTGAAGCTCAGGAGAAAAAAAATAATGGGGAACTTGCAAGAATGAGAAGATCACCATTAGCATCTTTAGAGTATTAGCACAGGAAGGCATTACTGAGCGAACCTCGCTTCCTGGGCCGTGGGACACCCCTCCAGGCCAGGCTGCTGCGTAAGAGCTGTATTTCCTAGAAGGCAGAGCTGAGTGGTGGTTGGCACAGTATTTGTCTGCACAGCCTGGTCTGCAGAGGGAGGTTGGTGAATGGTAGGGTTTGGTGCTAGCTCTGCCGCAGACTCCCCGTGTCAGTGTTAATGCTTGGCACCATCCTGATACTCAGAAATCCTGTCAGGGAGTTTGGAGAAAGGCAGTGGGAGACGAAGAGGTCAGTGTTGCAATGGAAAGGAGGGGGGAAAAAAAGGGGAGGGGGGGTGTGGAATTTGGATAAGGTTTAGCCTTAGGACTGTGATACCAGTTACCAAGAGATGTGCCGGCTCTCCAGCACCAGGCAGCTCGTTTGTTAAGCGGGGGAATCTGCCCAGCTTGAGTGTAGTTAAATCCCAGTCTACCAACGTGGCCTTTGTTCAGTTGTAGGAATAGGACTAAACATTCCAAGGTCTCAGTCTAAGAGTGGTGACTTGGTACCTGATCCCTTAAAATTTTCGTCGTTCCAAGAAGTCTGTGTTTGAGAGGAAATATTGGGAAAATTTTAAGGGTATGTTCTTGGGAGCTATATTTTGCTTTAATCACCCTCTCCCCTTTCTTCTGTTTCCTTTTCTATTGCCTCCAGATATGGTCCTGGTTTTTTCCATTGTGTCCTTTGTTTCTTTTGCAGTTTTTGTTAGCTTTTTTTGGTGGCGTTTTTTGTTGGGTTTTTTTCTCTTTTTTTTAATAGAGTTGTTTTATTTATACTGGTTTTGTCTGAAATCTGTAGTTAAACCAAAATAGCTGAGGGGAAATCCTGTTTTTCCTGCATATAGGAACTGTTTGCTTTGACAATCACTAAGTGTGTTCATCTAAGCAAGAGTTTGATGGTTTCACTTGTATAGTATCAAAAGGCTTTGATGATTTTAAGTGTATCCTGAATTTCTCCAAACTCATCTTTTGCAGTGGATGCCTGTAGTTATTTCTTCTAAAACCTCTGCAGTGCACACTTTACAAAAGTTCTCTGTGCAGTTATGTCTAGAAATGAGACTTCTTATCAAACATTTGATTTTTTTTTTTAAATTAAACCCTTTAAGAGGAAATAAAATTTACTGTGGACATATTTGAAAGTAGATTCTGCACACTGAACCAGTGTTAGAGTTTTAATTGTTGCTATCATACAATTTTTGTTAAGGTTTTCCTTGTATAGAAGAACCGAGTCCAGATTATAACAACTGCTATTGCTTTAGTCATAGTCTACAAAAATTTCTTGAGTACTTTTGTCTAGTACTCTAGTACAACTCC